AATGTAGTACTCTACTCTGTTGAGTAAACACTGAATAGGAAAGAGGGGTGTCTGAGGGCAAAGGTGACAAGACCTGGAAAGTATGGAGCCACGCCCAATGCTCAGGGGTCTAGTTCCTCTTCTTGAAGTGATATCCTGCCACTCACTGTGGCTGGAGAATAAGCTCCTGGGCATTCAGTATACTGTTCTACTTTTTCTGTTCAAAATTTTCCATAGGGAAAAAAAAAAAACAAAAAACAAACCAACAACTTTGCCAGGGGTAGTGGCACACGTCTTTAGTCCCAGAACTTGGGAGGCAGAGGAAGGTGATCTCTGTGAGTTCAAGGCCAGCCTGGGCTACAGAGCAAGATCCAGGAAAGGCGCCAAGCTACACAGAGAAACCCTGTCTCAAAAATCAAAACACAGAAAACTCCACCAAACAAACAAAAACAATTTCCATAGCATACCCATAGGTATGATCCACAGCTCTCCCCACAACCCACCAAAAAAGATTTTAAAAATTTTATTGTTTTTGAGACAGGGTCTCTGTATGTAGGCTCTGGCAATTCTGAAACTCTCTATGTAGGTAGATCAAGCCAGCCTCAAACTCAAAGAGATCCACCTGCCTCAGCCTCCCAAGTGCTGGGATTAAAGAGTTATCACCAAGCCCAGGAACGAATTTTCTGTGCAAATTACTAATAGACAATTTTTAAAAAGAAAAAAGGCCAGAGTGGTAACCTACACCATTAATCTCAGGGAGTCAGAGGCAGGCTGGACATCTCTTGTGCTCCAGGCCAGCCCAGACTATGTAGTCAGTCAGTTCCTGGCCAGGCAGGGCTACTTATCGAGATCCTGTCTCCAAGGGGGTGGGGGGTGGGGTAAAGAGGTAAAGACATGATTAAACCCCCCCGTCTTATTTTCCTACCTTTGAACTGTTTCCCCTTTTAACTTGATCTTTGCCAGTCTCCCCCTGTCAACAGACCCACTGCCATCTAACAAACGGTGGTTTGGAGGATAAAAGACAGACCCTTAGCACAGGCAGCGGAATTCCAAATGCTAGACTCTTGGCTCCACAATGTCTGATTCAGAACTGCTGGGAGCTATTAGTGTAGCTCGCCCACCCAGGCATGTGAGGCTGGGAGAGCTCCTTTCACACCACCCGCACAAGCCTCTCATTTATGCTACAGGCTTCAATGATCGTGTGCTTTTGTTCCGCACAGGAACTCATGAAGTCCAATGTAACTCCAGACAGTATTAGGAAGGTCCAGAAGGAAGGAAGAATGATGCAGTTTCGACGTGGACCTGCAACAGATCTCTTTTTATAAGAATGGGGCAACAGTCCAAGAAAATTACCTTTTCAAAACACTCAAGTGCAAGGTAAAAGGATCTCCTGTAACAGTCCCAGATGCATTCTGGTTTGAATGACAACACTTGCTATTCTGCAGGCATCTCTTGTTCTTTCCCACCTCCAGCCTTTGTTAAAGACACTATATTTGAACTGTGGCCCCAGTCAGCCTGCACACATTTTCCATCATCCCCCATCTTTGACTGTCAAATCACACCCTTCCTTCAAAACAAGTGTTTATAAAACATTACACCGTGACAATCCCTAAAAACCTTGGCTCTCTTTGGTTCTAAGGACTGAACCAAGGGCGTCAGCATCCATGCTAGTTAAGTGCACTACGATTGAGCTATACCCCAAACCTTTAACTTATCCCTATTACTCGTGTTTAAAAAAAAATCTTTAAGCTAGGCATAGTGGTGAATGACTTTAGTCCCAACACTTGGGAGGCAGAGGCAGGTGGATCTTTGAGTTCAAAACCAGCCTAGTCTACAGAGTGAGTTCCAGAATGGCCAGGGCTATAAAGAGGAATCCTGTCTCAAAAAAACCAAAACCAAAGCCAAACATCTTTACTTTCCTAGAAAGTCCATAGAAATTGTTATCATGCTTCCAACAATGGGGTCAAGAATAGGCATGATAAGCACATAAGCACAGTGGTTCTGTTGTCCTTTACCATACTATTACATAAGCAGCCTATTTCCAATGGTGGAGAAACAGGCATGAAATCAGTCAAGGTGGTACACCTCTGTAATCCTAGTACTTGGGAGAGGAAGGAGGAGGAAAATATACAATAAAGAATAATGAAGCCGGGTAGTGATGGCGCACGCCTTTAACCCCAGCACTCAGGAGGCAGAGGCAGGCGGATCTTTGTGAGTTCGAGGCCAGCCTGGTCTCCAAAGTGAGATCCAGGAAAGGCTCCAAAACTACACAGAGAAACCCTGTCTCCAAAAAAAG